CCAGCCCCGCTCGCTGCATCCACAGCGTCCGGATTTTGAGCTGAATACGCTTGGAAAAGCCGCCTTCGTTAGCGTAATCGTCAAGGGCAACTGCTTTCAAGCCCTTGTGTATGCCTAAGAGGTGGGTTTGTGTCTTAAATTAAGGGAAATGGCAACGCCGGGCAGCGTCGAACCCCTCGCGACGCCAGGAATGTCGGTGTCGATGCGGGCAGAAGCTGGCTGGCTTTCTGAACATGCCTACAGAAAATCAAGTAAGAAACAGCTTTGTTCAGGAAAGAGGTTGCTCACTTGTGTTGTCTTTCACTCAGGCTACCTTGTACCCCAGTGTCTTTCGTAGAAGACGCGTGAGTTCGCAGTTTCCCAGAGATGCTTTTGCAAACTGGCGGCAGACCCGGGAGCAGCCCCCAGGAATCCCCCTCTGCGGTCCCCTCGTTAACCGCTCTGCAGAGCTGCTTCTAAACGAACCTCTGGGTCCCTGCTAAGCGTGCAGGAGTGCTCTGCCAGCCAGCGGGCGTAGGAGCGCTCAGCAGATGGCAGAAATAGCGCATTGTAGTCCTGTGAGAGGTGCTGGCAAAGCCTCTAAGGAGAGCTGAAAATAATCAACCTTTCTTCTCCTCCTGCTCAGCTGAGTCATCCGCGCACGTGACCGAGTAACCAGCTCCTTCGCTTGCCCGCTGTAGTACCTTAGCACGCAGCACGTTAGCGGTAGTTGCTGCCTGATCCTGTCCCGTTTGGGCACCACATCGAACAGCCTTTGTGCTTCGTTGTCAGTGCCAGGCAGCCCTCCTCTGTAGGAGAACGTCTCCCACATCTCACGTGCCTCGGAGAGCAGGAGGAGCGATGTGGGCCGCAAAACACAGCACACCAGCTGAAAGTACTGGGGAAAGCTGCCTGCAGACCCATCCCAATAGAAGGGGGGCATGCACAGCCCACGACAGATAAAGAGTGCTCTCTTCGTTTGTTCGAAGTGCACTGTGAACGCGTCTGCAGGGGAAAAACACTGTAGGCTTTGTACTTTAGGTGGAGCTTCATGAGTCCTTGGGATGATGGTCGCTGTAACAATCAAAGTACAGAATAAGCAGACTTGTGCCAGCAGTAAATCATCTACCTGGGGTTGGATGCAGCAGTGGTAGACAGAGATGATACAGAAGCTGCAAAGCCCGTTAGAGAGGGCAGAGTAAGGATGTGGAGCGTCCCCCTGCTCCGAGCACTGCGGCCCAGGTGCCAGGCTTCCCTCAGTGCCACGGTGCACCCAGAGCCATGCCCCGGCTGCACAGCTCCATGGGTGCACTTTGCACTCCCTGAAGTCGCTTCTTCTCCGGCCAGGTTTGTGATCAGTTACTCTCTGTGACACAGCCTGATTGCAGAGGGTGGTAACTACACATCTTTGAACTGCAATTTAAAAAAACAAAGTTCAAGCAAACACATCGTTTACCTTCTGAAAGTGTAAGCGAACCCCATAGCATCGCTTTCTGCTTTTCCTCTTGTGCTGGTGCATTCACTTCCAGATGCATTCCCGAGCTGCGGTTCCCATTGCAGGCCTGGGAGCTGGGTGTTGACCTGGGGCTGTCATGATTTTTACCCCATCCTTTTAAAATACATGTTCTGATTTTTTCATACTTTCCAAAGAGAAGGACTTAGAAAGGATTTGGTATTTCAGCCTGCCCAGAGTTTCATCTGTCTGCGTATTTTCCGGAAAGCAGGACAAGCTTACTTAGAAAGGCAAGACAAATTGTGTGGCAACAAGGGGAGCTGAAATTCAAGATTAAAAGAACTAGGAATGTGTTTAGCGTGCCTGAAGGGGAGGCTACAGCAGCTGGCATGCTGGCCATGTTGATACTCAGAGAGAAGGCGATGCATACAGGACAGCACACAGTTGTGCACCTGAGGCGGCTGGATGTCAGTAGCACAGCCTGCCGAGAGGGAACCTGGGTCTGCTGAGGCCAGCGATAGACAGCCGGTCATCTGAGATGTTTCCTGTCGCCCCAAAGGCCAAAAAACCCTTCGTTGCACTCAGGCAGCATGGACTGCATGTGGAAACGAGAAAAAACTTTGTCTCTACAGCTCTTTCTTCTTAGGACAAGAGAGGCTGGAAATGCTTTAGAGGATAATGCAATATTAGATTAGCGCTACAAGTCACTGACCCTAAGCAATAAGCCGTCTCCATGACTTC